ACTTCCAAAGATCTCTTATTTTAGTCTGACCACTGATGTCCCACACAGTGAACGAGATGTTTTTATACTCAACCGTCTCCACATTAAAACCTAGAGTGGACATTTTATACATAACTATTAATAAAGCGGTAAGACGTATAGTTTTAACTACAGTAAATATACAAAGTCTTACCAATGGTTGGAATAGTTGAGACAACTTCACCCAGTTTGAGTTTGTAGAGGACTGTTGTTTTCCCTGCTGCATCCAGACCAACTGTGAACATACACGTTTACATTTATTCAAAGGAAATGACTAACATTAAAAATATTCATCATTATTTAGATTAAGCTAGCTACCCATTTAAGATCGTTATTATGGTTTAAGTATAATAATAAACAGTAGGCAAAATGTAAAGTGTGCATTCAATATTTACTCACCCATCACCAATCTGATCTGCTTTTTCCCTTCAAAGAGACGAGAGAACAGTTGACAGAAAAAGTTGCCCATGTTAACAGTACAAACACAGAATGTGCAGAAAGAAATGCTCGGAGTGCGAGGCACAGATTGTTTGTGTTTGAGGATGGTGTGTGTGTGTTTATATAGGGCTTTCTTACTTTCGGTTTGATCGACATCCTCACACAGGTCTCGCTGCATATCCAACGCGTTCGATATGACGTCACCAACAGTATCACGTGTCCAAACAGACCTTTATGTATGATGGAAATCTAGTTTTAGCGTACTTTAATGCAGTTTAATAAGTGTAGATAAATGTGAAAACATGGACCAGTGTATTTTGTTAGAGAGGACATAAATTGAAAAAAAAAGGTTTAAAGTAGGTATAAATAAATGTAAAAAGAATAACGCGAACATAAGCAAACAGAGCAGCCAGTGCTCATAACTGATGGCATTACATAAGAGACCACGTGCTGTTTTAAAGTGTATAAGCAAAAAAAAGCTGACATCCATTCACATGGTCTGCTTGTTTTAATCAAATACATTTTCTTAAATATATTTTTAATAATATTTCTTCAGAAAATGTTTACATTATGATCATTTATATGGACTGAACATGTCTGTCTGTCTGTCTGTCTATCTATCTATCTATCTATCTATCTGCTCGTCTGTCTGTCTGTCTGTCTTTATATTATACAAAGCAATACATTTCTCATGTAGTTTTATATTTTATAATACTAATTATATATAATTAAGACATAAAAAGCCATAATACTAATGTTTGTAAATAAATATATGACTTACTGAGATGTTTGAAATAAAAAATGAGTATTATTTCACCATTAAGAATGGCCTATAAAGCTTTAGGAGTTAAAGTGCAGTTTTCCATTAGTTATATAGGGTGTTTTCCATTTAGTTATATAAATCCTAGGTTCCAGTATGTTACAGGCTTTTTCATGCTTTTTTCTAGCATGTATATTTCTATTTATTACAAATGAGACATTTACAACAGACAAATGTTTGTAAATAAATATATACTTTATTGTAGACATGTGAAAGACACTTAAAGACATAGATATCTGCACATTATTTAAATTAAAATATTTAAATTAACATTATTTTTCAAAATTTAACTATAAAAAATATATACATAAACACACACACACACACACACACAAACACACACATGTATATAGTTGTGTTTATTTTTATTTAAATTAAAATCAATCCACTGCAGTAGTGTTTTTCTTTAATCATAAATCTAAATATATTTCCAGCATTACTGCTGTTTGGAGAGTTGATCTGTGAGCCAGTCGAATCCTTCATACAAACCAGATCCCTGAACTGCACATGTGGACTGAACAAACCACTGAGAGAGAGAATACAGATAGATAGAGAGATAGATAGATAGATAGATAGATAGATAGATAGATAGATAGATAGATAGATAGAGAGAGAGAGAGAGAGAGAGAGAGAGAGAAACCAGTTATTCAGTTCTGTTCAACTCATTAATTTTCAGTGAGTGTGTACATTGTGAAGAGCAAATGTCCCCACAAGTATAGCAAAACCAGTCATTTTTGACCTCGTAAGGACATTTTTTTTGGACACTATGAAAGAAATGGCTCATAAATCCAACATAGGTTCATTCTGAAAGCGTAGCCCATATACATTTCTTCAGATTGCGAATTATGAGGTACGTATAGCTGCATTTCATCTGTAATGCAAAAGCTATGGGGCGGTATGATGCCGTTCCTTTTCGCGCTACCGGCTTACCGCTTACCTCCGTATGGATGGCTTTTCTGCCATTACCAGTTTGTCTGGTAGCTCGACATGTACGCCGGAGGATTTGAGATGCGCAGAGAAGTTGACCGTGACGACAGGGTTCGAGTCCGGCAAAGAACGGTTCCAGAAAGCGGGTCTGATAAAAACTGAAGCCAAAAAAAAAAAATAAACAAGTAAATAACAGGGTGAGAATGTGGTAAAAATCATGACGAGGGCTTTTCTTTTTCTGGATTGCTTTTGAAAACACTATTGGTTGGGTTTAGGGAAGGAGGAGGTCGGGGGATCGGTCAGTCAGTCAGTAGACAGCAGCCTCTGGTGGATTTACGTGAGAACAGCAGGCACGAATGGCACCTGTGAGAGAAATTAGAGATCTGAAAAAGCACACACAGAGGTCTCTGGTGGATTTGCGAAAACAAAAACTGCAAAAAACGTAGCTCCTGGGACGTATTTGGTGCTCTGTAGAAATGTATATAGCAGGACGTAATCAGAATGAGCCTGGGTTGAATAAATCAGACAGAATGAAGTATTTTGATAATGATGTAAAATGCAGATTGCCTCCTGTGAGGGTTGGGTTTAGAGCTAGATGGCAAGAATATACAGTAGACACATCATTACAGCAATGGGAAGAGCTCCCTTTAGGATAGCCATACAAGTGTATGCACCTTTGTTTGTGAATATGTGTGGTATTTACATATATGTGTGAGTTTGTGTATTTGCATATGTGTGTGTGTGTGTCACCTGTCTTCCAGTCAGAGCATGTAAACCCAGTCTGTCTGTCAGCTCTTGGGCCGGCATGGCTTTGGGTAAATCCTGCTTGTTAGCCAGAACTAGTAAAACAGCGTCTCTCAATTCATCCTCCGCCAGCAGTAAATTCAGCTCCTCTGCTGCTGTTTCAATCCTGTCACGATCACTGCTGTCCACCACAAAGATCAGACCCTGAATTACACAAAGCAAAGAAAATATAGCTTTTATTTCCTTCTTTTTGCAAATAAATGCACATTTTAATAGGTATATTAAAGGTTTGTTACCTGGGTGTTGCTATAATAGTGCCTCCAGAGGCTTTTCATTGTAGTCTGACCAGAGAAATCCCACACAGTGAATGAGATGTTTTTATACTCAACCGTCTCCACGTTAAATCCTAGAGAGTTTGATGGGGAAATTATGATTACATAACTCAATTTAAGTTTATTTGTTAGCACTTTTTACAATAATTATTGTTTTAAACCAGCTTAACCTGTTTAAACCAGCAAAACAAAAGCTGCATATTATTGCATCACAATCCAATTTAAGAAACCTTAAGTTTGTTAGTTACTACAACTTCATTAGTTACTAATAACTTTAATTAACTAACTAATAGATTTTGACAGTTAAAGTTATTATATATATATATATATATATATATATATATATATATATATATATATATATATATATATATATATAAACAAAACCTGAAAAATGTTCATTGATTAATTTATAAACGATTTAATCAATAAAAGCTTAATATTTTCTTACCAATGGTTGGAATGGTTGTGACAACTTCACCCAGTTTGAGTTTGTAGAGGACTGTAGTTTTCCCCGCTGCATCCAGACCAACTGTAGGAGAAGAAATATTGACATTTAATCCATAATAATGTAATGAATAAGTCAAAATTTGACTCTTTTATAAAGCGTAATTAGATAATATATCAATGTAAGCAGCTGTTTACTAACTATAAATAGGAAATAAAAGCAATACTCACACATAAGCAGCCTCGTCTCTTTTTTCTCAAACAATCGTGTCCAAAGAGAAGAGAAGAAGACGCCCATTTTGGAGTGCGAGGCATAGATTGTGTAGCTGTAATCTTTGTGTATGTTTGTTTATCATAGACAGCCCAACACCGCCTTTGACACACAAGACTCGCGGCAAATCCAACGCGTTCCAAATGACGTCAGCACAGGGATGCCAGGTATTCGCAAACAAAACTAGCGCATAGAAAGTGGGTTCAAGGTAAACCTTTTCCACAACAATATTATTAAAGACATTAAATTATGTGTAATTTACATGTATAAGCTCTGAAATCATGCAATGCTCTGCAAACATTGAAATGCATGTGTTTTTTTTTCTTGAACTGTATTCTAGATAATATAATAGAGATCAGTTGTAATAAGTTGTGTTCTTGTGAAATTGAATGATTAATAATAATAATAATAAGAAGAAAAATAATATTAATAATAAAAAAACTAGCCCAATCATGCTGTATACATAAAGAATTGGAAAGATCATGAAGGATAATATTAAGCCATTAGTACTAATTAATAAGCCATTAAAACTGTTTGTATCTTTTTATTTCCCTTACTCTCTTTATTTAAATATGCACACTTTTTTATACAGATTATTTTTATCCTTATTTATGATTTATTTTCTGTACACCCCTGACCAATTTGTATTCTTGTGTTTGTATTATTCTGTTTCTGATCTATGAGCATTAATAAAAAAATAAACATAAAAAACTAATGTGTGACAAATACATACCTCACATTATACACTTTTTTTATTCACTGTACATTACTTTACATTGCATTATATAATATATAGCCATTTTAAGGATTCTTTTTTTGCATAAATAACCTTCAATAATCAGAAACATAATTGTTTCACTTCAATTCTGACATCATTTATGTTGGGTTTGATTATACTATTACTGAAGGTTAACTGATTTAATCCACTTTTTAATTTAATTTACCGATTTATAAATTATGTTTCAGTTAAAGTAGCATATTTATTTCATTTATTTCAGCGTTTTTATTTAATAAATAAATAAAAATCATACATGGCGATATGGTGGCTTGGTGGTTAGCATTATGGCCTCACAGCAAGAAGGTCGCTGGTTTGAGTTCCGGCCGGGTCAGTTGGCATTTCTGTGTGGAGTTTGCATGTTCTCCCCGTGTTGGCATGGGTTTCCTCCAGGTGCTCCGGTTTCCCCCACAGTCCAAACGCATTCGCTATAGGGGAATTGATTAACTAAATTGGTTGTAGTCTATGAGTGTGTGTGAATGTGAGTGTGTATGGGTGTTTCCCAGTACTGGGTTGCAACAGGAAGCACCTTAATGAATAAAGGGACTAAGCTAAAAGATAATGAATGAATGAATGAATGAATAAATGAATAAAAAAAATAATTAAATAAAGTACAAATCACGACAAAGGGACCTTTTAAGAGTCCAAATAAAGACTTATAATGTACGCTATGACTTTAAATGTCATAATTATAAGATAAACGGAGGAAATTTTGAAATATATTAGTCAATATTAGGACATAAACTGTAATTATAGTCCTCATGGATGCTTTTTTCTTTTTGTGAACATATTGTACAACAGATAATTACATTTGATACACAGTTAATAACCATAGAGTACTAACAGAAGAAAAAACAAGAGCAAACGACAGAAATCAAAACAAAAAACTGAGAAATATCAATGGTTACCTGATCTGGAGACAGATATAACAGATAATACATAAATGGAGAGGGGAGAGGGCAAAAAAAAAAGATTAATAGCGATTTAGAGTCTTCATTGCTAGATCAGATAAGGTTGTGGCTGGGAGTTAAGAAGAATTATTAATATTATTTATTAAATTTCCCATTTATTTTATGGTATAACCCCTACCCCAGCCCTAAATCTATCCCACAGTAATGTAAAACAGCAGTTGTACCGAGTATTATTTATGCTATTTATTAAATTACCCAATTTTTATCAACGCCTATCCCCACCACAACCATCCCAGTACTGTAAAAATATGAATTATTGTCATACAGTGTTAGAAAAATGAAGCTATATTGATGCGCATATCCGCAGCTGTATCCCATCTAGACTTTACATTCATGGATACCGTCTGCTTTAGACACGTGACAGTTGGTGACGTCATATCGAACGCGTTGGATTTGCCGCGAGAAAAGCGGAGGTCGATTTGTGTGTGAGTGGCGGAGTTGAGCTGTCAAACCGAAAGCAAAAAGCCCTATATAAACACACACACACACTCACTGATCATCACACAGAGAATCTCAGCCTCGCACTCCACACCAAACACGGCGAACAGCACTTTTAACTGCACTTTAAATAAACATGGGCGTCTTCTTCTCTAACCTTTGGACGCGTCTGTTTGAGAAAAAGGAGATGAGGCTGCTTATGGGTGAGGACGACGACATTTTATATTTACTTCAGCCTCTATATTTTTAATTTATCTGATGATTAAATTCCGTTTTTATAGAAATGTTGATGTAAATATTAATTTGGCGTTTAGTTCTTTTGAAAACGGTCTACATTTGATAATTTATTTACGTTTATATGTTTTTATAGTTGATTAAATGTCAATATTTCTTCTCCCACAGTTGGTCTGGATGCAGCAGGGAAAACTACAGTCCTCTACAAACTCAAACTGGGTGAAGTTGTCACAACTATTCCAACTTTAGGTAAGAAACCTCAAGACTAATTTAAAACACACTTGTATTTTGTATTACTATTATTATTGATGTTGTACATAATAATAATTAATCCTTTTATTTACTACTTTTAGCCTATTTAGTTGTACGAGCTAATAGGCCTACTATAATGATAAGTAATTATAGTAATAACGAATAATTAAACTATTTGCTTCATTTAACATTAAAATAATAAAACTGTTTGTTTTCCCCCTGAACTTTCAAATGTTAAACAAAGGTGATTTTATTTAGGTGAGAATAGCCTACTTATAATGCGATACAACTCTCCAAGATGGCTGATATGATTTTATTTATGAAAACAGAATCTTTATAGTTACTACAATGTAAAAGTAGTTTTGGTATTGTTTACAACATTATTAATATTAACAATAATATCAATAACGTTGTAAATAATAATAATAATAACATTACTATTTACTTTTAATTATACTACTAGCTACTAGGCCTACTAATAATATTACTAGCATTATATAACATTATAATGACAAAACTATTTGTTTTTTTTTCCAATGCTTTCAAACACTATTACAAAGACGGTTTTATTTAGGCGGGAAACCTCATTTTTGTATGTTTATATATATATATATATATATATATATATATATATATATATATATATATATATGTATGTATGTATGTATGCAAGCAGAGTATTATTATTAATATGAATGTATGTATGTGTGTGTGTGTTTGTATGTATATATATATATATATATACACACACACACACACACACACACACACACAATGTATGTATATATGTATGTATACTATAATTTATGCAGCTTAAAGTGACATCTAAAGGCTTAACTAGGTTAACTAGGCAGGTTAGGGTAATTAGGCAAGTTATTGTATAATGATAGTTTGTTCTAAAGACAGTCGAAAAAATATATAGCTTAAAGGGGCTAATAATATTGACCTTAAAATGGTGTTTACAAAATTAAAATCTGCTTTTATTCTAGCCGAAACATAATTTTCTCAGAAGAAAAAAATATTATAGGAATTACTGTGAAAATGTCCTTGCTCTGTTAAACATCAATTGGGAAATATATAAAAAAAGCTAATAATTCTGACTTCAACTGTATATAGTAATAATAATTATTACTATTATATTAGCATTATATCAAGAATTACATGATCAAAAAGCCACCAGCCTGGGAAATACATGTCTTTATTCGGTCACCTATTTTAGTTTAAATGCGAGGTCAAGTAAACATACAATGGATGACTAATTTACTATCGATTTATAATAATTTAAAATCTACCCTACCTGATATTTGTTGGTCTAAGTGTTACTTTTATGCACTTTTTGTAAGGGATAGTTCACATTAAAATAAAAATTGTCATCATTTATTAATCCTCACCTGTTCCAAACCTATTTGTGATTCATTCCTCTGTTTAACATAAAATAATATATATTTAAAGAATGCTGTGCGACACGGTGGCTTAATGGTCAGCACTGTGGTCTCACAGCAGGAAGGTCGCTGGTTCGAGTCCCAGCTGGGTCAGTTGGCATTTCTGTGTGTAGTTGCCGTGGGTTACCTCCGGCTGCTCCGGTTTCCCACACAGTCCAAACACATGCGCTGCAGGGGAACTGATGAACTAAATTGGCCGTAGAGTATGAGTGTGTATGGATGATTTCCAGTATTGGTTTGCAACTGGAAGGGCATTCACTGTGCAAAACGTATGCTGGAATAGTTGGTGGTTCATTCCACTGTGGTGACTCCTGATAAATAAAGGGACTAAACGTTGGAAACATGCATTCATTTTTTTTCTGGCTCAGTCCCTTTATTGATCTGCGGTCGCCACAGCGGAATGAACCGCCAACTTATCCAGCACATGATTTACGCAGCAGATGCCCTTCCAGCTGCAACCCATCTCTGGGAAACATCCATACCCACTCATTCACTACGAACAATTTAGCCTACCCAATTCACCTATACCACATGTGTTTGGACTGTGGAGGGAACCCACGCGAACGCAGGGAGAACATGCAAACTCCACACAGAAAAGCCAACTGACCCAGTCGAGGCTCAAACCAGCGACCTTCTTGCTGTGAGACGACAGCACTACCCACTGCACCCACTCCGTCGCCCGTTGGAAAACAGTAACCATTAAATTCCATAGTACTTACAATATAAGTCAATGGTTACAGGCTTTCAGCATTCTTCAAAGTATCTTCTTTTGTGCTTAACAGAAGAAACTTATGTTTTGGAACCACCTAACGGTGAATAAATGCTGAGTAAATGTGTTTTTTGGTGAGCTAGCCCTTAAAACAAATCAAATATAAGGTTAAAACTACTGCATTATACCTGATTGATCAATATCTCCTCTAGGATTTAATGTGGAGACGGTGGAATATAAAAACATCTCGTTCACTGTGTGGGAGGTCGGTGGTCAGGATATTATCAGACGCCTCTGGAGACACTATTATCAGAACACCAAGGTAATGTTTAGATATAATAACCCCTTATTTTAGATTTGAGCATTTATTTATCGTGAATATTTCAGTAAAGTCGGTGTCTGTGTAATTCAGGGTCTGATCTTCGTGGTGGACAGCAGTGATCGGGACAGGATTGAAACGGCAGCAGAGGAGCTGAAGATGATGGTATGTTTAGTGATTTGATTTGACTGTTAAATAGTGTCTGTTTTGGTTTGTGCATGAAGTCTGAATCTGCTGAATGTTTTCAGCTGGCGGAGGACGAGATGAGAGACGCTGTTTTACTAGTTCTGGCTAACAAGCAGGATTTACCCAAAGCCATGGCGGCCCACGAGCTCACAGAAAGACTGGGTTTACATGCACTAAGAGGAAGACAGGTGAGACACACACACACACACACAAATTCGAACAAATTCAAACATACAAGCACACAAACACGAACAGACATAAATACACAGTTAAAAACGCACACACAGAGATAGGTACACACATGCACACACACACATACATACAGTCTAAAACACACACACAAGCTGACAGACAGACTGGGTTTACATGCTCTGAGAGGAAGACAGGTGACACACACAAACCCAAACATATGCATGCATACACACACACACACACACACACATGCATATTCATACACAGAAGCGCACACACACACACACACACACACACACACACACACACACACACACACACACACACACACACACAAACTCTGGCAAATCCATACTCATAAACGCGCACACACACAAATAAACACAAAGACACTAACAGACACACAGACAGGCATACACACAAACATACCCCCACACACACTCATTTACAAGCATACACACGCACAGGAACACCCAAAACCACTC